CCGTAAGGGTTCAGGCTTTCCACTACCAAGCTTCAACAGCATCTCAGTCATGTCGAGCCCATCATTGTCGAACCAGAACGGGTCTCAAGCTTCCCCACCAGTTGAAGCCGATAAGAGGACACAGCAGCCTGCACCGCGCGTTCGCCGCAGGAATCGACTCATTACTTCTTGTCTCGAATGTCGCCGGCGGAAGTTGAAGTGCGACAAAGGCCACCCATGTACACATTGCACCAAAAACACGCGACAATGCGTTTTCATTGCCTCCGGACTTGATGCAAATGCTCAGGCAAAGCTAGCCGAGGTTAAAGAGCAGATGGGTCGTTTGGAGAGGAGCCTTGAAGAAGATGTTGCGCGCAAGACAGAAATAAACTTGAGAAATACTGCAAGCTTTTCTAGGGTTGGTACACTCCCTGGTCAGGAACAGTCAAGCGACCAAGAAGACGACGAGGACACTAAGGATCTCCGGCCGACACATCTCGTTACTGAAGATGCAGCTTACTATGAGCCTGACGACGATGTCAACGACGACATGGTCGATCTGGGCTTTCGAATGGGTAGAGTTCGCATCACAGAACGCATTGGGGGACTTGTTCGTCCAAGACTCTCAGATGAAGTGAGTCTCCACGTGTTTAGCATGTCGGATCACACTGACACCATCCTCGTAGCTTGCTACAACACTCAAAGAGTTACCAGATCGCGAAACTCCGTCTCTATCTGCCATCGAAGAAGACGCCGTAAATTGGTTAGCACCCACACAAGACTATGTCGCTCCATCTTCAAACTTTGTGTTGGCGTCCGGAATCGACCGAACCGCTCTTGAGTCCCATCTGCCTGCTCGGGCCGTGGTTGATAAACTGCTCTCTCAGTATTGGATTGCGGTGCATACCATAGCCCGGACCGTACACCGCCCTTCATTCGAGCGGCAGTATCAGAACTTCTGGATCAGAGTCAACATGGGCATGGAGCCTCGCGCATCTTTCCAAGCAGTGCTCTTTGCGGCTTTGCTAAACTCAGTCGTTTCAATGACCGACGACATGGTGCAAGTCGAGTTTGGTGTTGAAAAGCAAAACATGATAGACAGCTTCAGGGAAGGGACGGAGGCAGCGCTTGCGCGAGCCAACTTCCTACGCACTACAAAATTGGAGACAATTCAGGCTTTCGTGATGTACCTCGTAAGTCTACCGTCCTAAAACGGGTACACGACAATTTACCCTAGTCGTGACCGTTGACTTCACCAAACTTTGCTAATAACCTCCTATAGATTCCGCTATGTCGCAACGAAGTATCTCGCGCCCACTCTGCACTAACTGGGTCACTTATTCGCTTAGCTGAATGTATGGGTTTGCACCGGGACCCGACGACCTACAGCTCCTCGTCGGTTGAGATCCAAGTACGGCGCCTCATATGGTACCAAATATGTTTTCTGGATCTACGTACTTGCGAAGCTGTTGGCCCACGTCCGCAAATCCGGCTCGACGACTATGACACTCGCTTTCCGCTGAACATTGACGATGTTGATCTCGACCGTGCTGAGCGTGGCGAGGGCGGAATAGACGTCAGTAAAGATCGCAATCACTTCACCGACATGACTATCAGCCTCATGCGATTTGAAGGATACGAGATGCATCGTTTCCTTTGGACCGAGCGTCCAAAATTGGATCGCAAACGCGCTGACGGGAAGAGCGAAGTCACAATCACTTCGCTTCTATCGCGTGTTCAGTCATTCCAAGCGGCTATGGAAAAGAAGTACCTTCCCATGCTGTCCAAGACAGAGCTATTACACGTTCTAGCGTCGGAGCTATACGGCATCGTCTCGAACCGCTTGTATATTTCCATCTTACAGAAGTACATTGCTTCTGCTCGCAGCCGAATGCCGGAGCGATTACGACAACTGACACTAAGCGCAGCGACCATGATTCTGGAACATGGCATGGCAATTGAGCAGCATCCAGTGCTATCCTCCTGGGCATGGATCGTCGGTGCTCTCCATCAACACCACTGCGCGCTTCTTCTCGTGAGCGAGATTTACGTAGCAAACCCGGAACCAGCGATGGAACAGCGAATATGGAAATGTCTGGACTACTCGTTCAATCTACCCACTGGGCTATCCAACGTTGAGAAAACGAGGATGGTTTTGGAAGAGCTTGTCGGCAAGACGAAAGCCTACTCTGCCTTGAAAAGAGTTCGTGTTCCTGCCGACATGCCGCAAGCAGGCCTGGAGCCTCGACAACGCGTACAGAGGAAGGAGGGTGGACGTGATGGAAGCACGCAGTCGCAGCCGAGTACTTCTGGTCCACTTTCGCATTTACTGAATGGCAATGCAGACCTGCAAAATCTCGTACCGCCTTCGCCGTCACCACCACAGACTTCTCAGGTTCAGTCCACGTTAGTACCCAGGCTCAACACGTTTCCTGGTGCTATGCCGACTGTAGACTGGGGTACCATCGACATGCCAGCGACAGTATCTGTTGCAACCTACGACGTCATTCCTGGGAATAGTCCAGGCAATCTGATGCCGACCACCGCACAGCAAGGTGAAAGTAGTAATAGTAGCCCGAACTCTACCATGTACGAGGGTGGAATGGCAGCTGGTTCTAACGGTAACACTGCGATGGACGCTATCAACGACATCGATTGGGTAAGTAACACTCTCGCCCCACCACACACTGGCATTGCTAACCATGATGTAGAATGATATCGAGGAGATGTTCGGTGATGCTGAGATGGGGGCGGGCAATATGCTTATCCCGCCTTTCGCATTTCCGTCTTTCTCAGCTTCGAATCTGCAGTGGCCGGCTTCGGGTCGAATGCAGTAACCTCATATGGTACTATCACCACCAATATCAACTCCTTTGTCGTATCACGCCTTAGTTCATAAATCAATGGTGACAGCTCGTCATACCCGTTTCAGTGTTCAGTGGTGGTTTGCTGTTGCAGCGAAGGGTTTAGTACGTTGTATTTAGTACCAACTATCTACTCTTTCACATACGACCATAAGCATTCCTTCATCCTTCGCTTCATGCCAATTGTGACTTCTCAGTCGCTTTTGATTCCACGAGCTGATGTACTCAGCACCGGCCCGCGTTAGGGTCAGACCTACAATTAGACGTTGTTAGCTATTTTCGTCCGTGTAAAGCTAACTGTGTATACAAAAACTTACCGGAAAAGCCAGTCAGCAGTAACTTTCTCGCCGCCGGCTTGGCAGCCATTAACCTCGTCGGTCAGTCGCTTAATGCAGTCTTCATTCTTGAGGGTTAAGCCGCCTCGGCCTTGCCAACCCACAGCGAAATCAAACTTGATGCCCGCGGACGGGCAATTGGCGCAAGCGTACTTGGTGTCGCCCTGATTGAAATAGCCTGCGAGCCTACCGCTATTACACAGGTCCCTGATAGCACCCCTAGCCGCGTCTTTGCAGGCTTCGGTGGCCCATTTCTGGCCGCTGTCGGGAAAGCAGCGGGCCATAGTGACGGTGGCCGAAGTCAAGATAACGAGGGGTATAGAGGTCTTCATTGTGAAAATCGTGATTGAAGAAGAGTCTGGATTGAATACTGTAGGGTGATGACTGGAGGCTTGACGGCGTTTGGAAGCTTGGCTCTTCTACGAGTCAATCGATGAAAATTACAACGGAAGTCACTCTCTTTGAAGTGGCTGGCTAAAACGGTCTTGGAAATGTGTTCCGTGCGATAGCTATATAGACTAACCTTAAATTAGCACACGGTGGACAAAGCGCATTGGAACGCGGAGTGAATCCACAATGTCGGAAAGCCTGGTGTGTCATCCTGCAGGGAAGCGTCTTTCAGTGAGCGATAATGATTCCATTGCATTGAATTCAACGTGCCTGTGATTTGCTTTATTACGGCGGTTGTTCCGTTACAAGTGGATGGGCGTTAACTACTTAGTGAGCTATCTAACTTAGGACGACTGATGATCCACTACTTCTAGCCAGCTTCTCCAGCAGAGATAAATCATTACAAAGACCTCGTGTGCGAATATTACATCAATCACAAGCACACCGCGCTCCCTGGATTCATCTGACAGTGCTGGCCCGGCTCTCCAACCTTACAACTCCCACCGGACGGACAACTTTGTAGCGTCCACACTCCACAATCTGCTTTCACCTGTCCGCCATTGAACGGACATGCCTCCCTGATCGCTTTGAATGGATTGATACAAGCATTCTGAACATCTGGCTGAGACTTCCCTTTCTCCGTATACAACAGGTTGCAAAGCTCTGGGGCGTTCGCGTCCATGGTGAACGTTGCGTCGTAACGATTGTTGTTTTTGGGATCGCCATTTCCCCCTGAGTCGGCCCCGACTTGCGTCCAATCTGGTTCAGTGCCGGCACAGAATGTGCTGATTCGCTCATCAGTCATCACTATGGAGACGATTCGATCCTCATCGGTAGTCCCGTGGCTTGGGAAGCACTCTGGCGTTCCGACGTGAGGGTCGATAGGGGTTTGAGCGACTTTGGACGGTATTGGTGTGGGGGAGGGATGAGATGAGGCAGGAGCAGTGGGAGGGGGCGCGGTAGAGGCATCGGAAGAGGCCGAGGTGGTATCGGGAGAGGATTCCGACTTGGTATCGGGAGGGTCGTCTGGGAGTGGGCCGGAAGGTTCGATATCCATGATCTGCTGGTAGTTAGGTAGTGGAGGGTCTCCAACGAGGGTCACTGTAGGCACAGAAGCTTCTGATGAAGACGAAGACGGAGATGACGACGTTGGAGTCGGACCATCAGTCGTAGTCGGACCATCAGTCGTATTCGGACCATCAGTCGTAGTCGGGCCATCAGTTGTAGTGACATCAGGGTTTCCACTTGGCTGTTCAGGTTCACTATCGCTTCCAGGTGGTGTTGAAGGAGGTGTTGCTCCCGGTGGCAGAGGAACACCCCCGTTAGGCACTGCGTTCATTGTCAGCTTCGCTCGAAGCAAGTGTTTCACCCACACTTACCCCATATAACTCCACCAGGCCCGACGATTAGAGGAATGACAATGATCGCGCCACTAGAATCCGTCGTGGTTGTCGAGGCCGTCGTTGCTTTTGTTAAGGTCGCATATTCGAGAACAGTGGAGGGAACGAACTGTATTGTTTAGTCAGAAGACGGATCAAACTGCTGCTGTCTGCAGTTGACTCACAGTTAAAGTCATTAGACTTCCAGCCGAATCCGTTTCTGTGAGCACAGTCGAGATTGAAGATGGTGACGGGGTTGAAGATGGCGATATGGTTGAAGATGGCGACATGGTTGAAGATGGCGACGGGGTTGAAGATGGCGACATGGTTGAAGACGGTGATGGGGTCGAAGACGATGAAGGGATTGAAGATGGCGACAGTGTTGAAGACGGTGAAGGGGTCGAAGATGGTAATAGGGTCGAAGGTGGTGATAGGGCAAGGGACACAGGGTCTTCCGGGCCTTCAATGCCATTCTCTGGAAAGACTATGTCAGCGATAGTGTAGATGAAGCCATTGAGCGACCAAACTCCGCCCCAATAGTTGTCGTTCTGGATGCATTGTTCGATGATGTTCGAGAAAGCTTCGTTGCAATTCTCAATGGGCTTGGTGGCGTCTTCTCGTGTAACATTGAAAAGCATCGAGCGTGCATTGTAGGTAGCGATTTTGCTGTTGTTCAGTGTGTTGTTCAGTGTATTGTTTAGTGGTGGGAATCCACCAGCACAGATGATGCCATTGGGGTCGTTCAGGGCGCCAGAAAGAAAGCTGGCGATGTCTGCGCCTGAGGGGTCCCCTTCTTTGCGGGGCTGGTTCGAGTCGCAATCTGCTCCGTTGACGAGAGAGATGTTTGAAACAAGGAAAGCAAATATCAATATGGTTCGGAATGTCCACATGATGGAGACAGCGTTGGCGATGTAGTTTCCGTGCAACGACAGTTCGGTATATTTCTGGGCATCAGTGAGTTTCGTTGCGGTTTCCAGGCTTCTTCTGCTAGTAAACGCCAGTACATACCTTGATGGGATCCAGATAGCTTCTCTTCTTTATTGGTTTTGTGTGATCCTCACCGAATGTATCTCAGTGGTTGCTTATAGCAGCTCAACAAAGCGAGGAGCATCGGGAAAGTTTATACCTAGGTATTCCAGTTTCCAAACTTCCAAGGCTGATTAGAAGCACAGTGGGGCTTTGACTAATTTTACTTTGCGATTGAAACAGGTTTGGGGGCTGTAAGTCAACGTAAGCTGAGTGCGGCCCCGGGGGGTTTGATTTTGGCCCCGGAGCTGCTGATACCTAGGTACAAATGGGTCCTGGATAATTTGACTATGCGATTTTAATGGAGTTAGGGGCTGTAAGGTAACGTGAGCTGAGCGCAGCCACGGGGGGCGTAACTCAGGAATGCCACTCACGGGAGAGATGATACCTCATTGGGGGAATCTCAAACTTTCTGCCCCCATAGTCTTACCTCCGAGTCTCAAGTATTCCAGGACAAGATCTACAGGGCTGGATTAAGATTGTTTCCCGGTTTCTCAGCCGTGCGGACTAGTTTTGGGGCTCTTCTTACCCAACATCTCCACCTGGGCAGATGCCTGCGAACAAATTTAGCATGCAATAGCCACCATATATCATAGCATTCCTCTCACCCTCTAAATTCGAGATCACATTTTGTGGCAGTTGCTCTACAACTCCCCATTCAGCATATCCTTTAGTTCTTGGGCGTTCATCTATCCTCAATCGTCTCTCCCGAGGTCATCATGCGGTCTGAACTATTTTGTTTTCTCTTTATGAGCATCCAGGCAGTCCACGTTTCGGCATGGGCCCTGCATTCCAGTTGCACTGGTGACACAGCAACTCGAGTGGAGAACACCATGAAAGTTGTGTTCGAAGTCCTGAATTACGCTTCAAAGCGGGCACAAAACACACAATACATACAAACCGATGCGACACTTCTACAAGACCTTCTTGGAGCGCCAGATGAGCACGACCAAGCCACTCTGAATCTCGCACATAGTAAGTTTCCTAATTCTCCAGCCTTGTCCAGATGTGCAAGGTGATCTGATACAATTTCTGACTTCGCTATGTAGCACAGTTCCAGGGCGCTATAGATACTACAGGACAAAGGCAACCGCCCGATCGAGGTGTCTTGATATTTTGCTCGGACGATCATCTCACATACCCGGAAGATGGCTTTCGGGGTGTGTATTTCGACAACGGCGATAACAGGCAAGCGCAGGTTCGTGCCAAACCTCCCGTCCCTGGTGCTACTGGACCTTGCAAGGGCAATCTTCGTGCCTTTGTTTACCCTTTCGGGTTTAAGGATGGATCACAGCCTGGTGGCACTGCTGTGGTTCTATGCTCGAATTGGGATGGAGGCGCAATTACATCAACCAAAGATGTCAAAGGCGAGATCGGCGATTGGCGAAAAGGTGGAGACTTGAGGAGATATTCTCAGGGCATCGAAACAGTGGGACAATATCTGAGCTATATGATCATACACGAGTTGATGCACGTCGCAAATCTGCAGCAATGTAAGACTTCACATCCAATTGCATCTCGATATAGAGAACTAACAAGTCTAATAGGTCCAGCAGCACTTCCAGACGGCAACATTGGAGAAGTGTATGGATACGAGAAGATCGCTGGTCATGCACCCGGCGCTACAGGTGGCAGTCCTCCTTCAGTAAACAACCGCCAACACAATGCCGATTCCTTTGCGTTCTTAGCATCTGGTATGCATCACTCCTTCAACTCATTCTCCAAGAGAAAATGCTAATTTTCAATGCAGCCTGGTACCTGAATCTGTATAAATGGACGAATGGCGCAGCAGTCCTCACAAAGAAAGCTGAACGTCCGCCAAATGAGTTGTAGTTGAGAACGGTGTTAGGATCGGAAGAAACTTCTAGAACCTCTAGCATGGTGTCAAGCAACCTTAGTTTGGTGGATAGTGTTGAGATGGGGTGTGTACTTGTCCACGCAGCGACAATAGGTGTTCACAATCTTGTCCCAATCGAGAGTTGCATTCCCAGTAATGACGATTCCAAGTTCTAAACCTCAAATAACCTTACACTCACGCCATTTCGAGGGAAATATCAAACATGCCGCAGCCTATGTTTACATTTGGTCGCCTATTTTTGATATTGCTATCTTGATGTAGGCTGCAGGCCTGTTCAGTTTTTTCGCGCACCTTCCCTGGTTCCCACTTTGCAGGGGCACGACCAGCGTAAAAGCTAGAACAAGTGCGTACATCTTGCGCCCCGACTCCAGGAATATCTTTTGGTCACTTGCAACAAACGTCACCTTGCACGCAAGCCACAGGGGCGATGCACATCGGGCTTAGTAAGCTGAGAATAGACCTTGGAGTATAAGACCACCTGGGCAGGCAGCCGCCCGCCATTTCTCCGAATTGTCTACCAAACTTTACAGAACAACCAATACCACACAATGGCAACCCAATCAAGCGTTGAGGCGAACCCTAAGTCAACTACTATCGTAGACGCAATTGTTACCCCGCCGCTACCAAATTGGAAGGAGCTGCGCGACCTTCCCGCGCCTAGCGGCCCACTGCCCGAAGACGACGAAGATGACGAAGACGATGCGACAAGTAAAGAGGAGGCTTTGAAGCCGAAAGAAGTAAAAGTAGCCAAAGAAAGCGAGGAACGTGACAAAAGCGAGAAGTAAAACGATGTACGTATTATAGATGAGAAGCAAGGCAGTGTACATAACGACAACCTCGCGTAGGCTCTAGGATACGCACTCCTTTGTTTCCAGGGCGTCTGGTGGAAAACATGTTTCGAACGTGAAGAATGTTTCCAACGACTACCCCATATCGCTGGATATGCTATGGCTTCTGTAGTCAATGCCGTTTACAGAACAGAAGCTTACTAGATAAAGGGGGGTTAGTGTGCAGAATGGTGGTGTGGTGTTGCAGTGGTGGACTGGGTACGATATATATGCCACCACCTACTCACATAGCAAAGACGGAACAAAGGAATCTATCACCATTACTACCAAGAACTATAGAGTGACTTCTTCATCATTCTCACTGCATCTCTCATGCCTTGTTACAGCAAACTCGTATAACTTTACATGTACATAACTGACCACAGCACTCCACCACAACTCGCATCGCCTTACCTTAAATTAACAAACACCTGCAGAGATGTTCGGAAACACAGCCGCAAAACTTCTCTACCTCCGCAACTCAATTCTGGATCAGCTTACGCTGGTAAACCCCTGGCCGGGAGGTAGACTGAGCGTAGTGACATACCCTAACATCGATGACACCTGGGACGTACGCGCTATAGTAGTCACATCGGACGAACCGTATGAAGCGAGGGTACTAGGGCATGTGAATGATAGCCGACGTGAGCTGACGGGGTTGCGGCAGATGCTACATTTGCTGCAAGAGGCTCAAAGACGAGAACATCAAGATACGGTAACAGGCGATATACTCATTGGTTCGGGTATTGGGAATGGACATATGGACGCGTCAAGAAGATGGTATAGGCGGAGGGGGCCTGCAAGACCGCTAAGAGGACAAGAGATGCCATTGGGGCACCCGCCGCATGGGATACGGCAACCTCGCGCCGAATGGGTGGACGACGCTCATTATCGTGAGGGTAATCGGGGCGAAGCTGTTCCGCCTCGGAGACGCGAAACGGATGAATGGACTACTGCTTCTGAGCAATATCAACGCGAACTAGAAGAGCAGGCTGCACAGTGGTACTAGGGGCTTGGACAGCGTCTTGTTTCACTTGTAGCTTATATTGACGAAATGATGTATGGGAACGATCCTCCATAGAAAGAATGCGTGATCTTACAAATGACTGATGATCGGGAGCATTGCCGGGATGCAATTGGATCATGTGTGGTACAGGGATGATGGAGCCGTTTTGACTTCATGTGTGAGCGTTAGAGTCACATGTAAATGACGGGAGTCATCTTGACGCGGTGGCTTGGCGTGACATATCGTAAAGTTTGTTGAAACACCTCACAAAGGCTGTAGTATGCCAGAGTCTAGGCTTCGAAGTACTGGAAGCATACAAAGAAGTTATGCTTTCTTTGCAGCCTGCTCGGTACTTGCGTAAGGTTCAGCTCCGTTCTAGGGCTTATGGATTGGCGGTACGGAACGAGACCCGGCGGTAGTGGAAGGTTCAAGTGCGGGAATCGCACAAGAAGTCAGATCTAGATCCGCGTCAGACAAACCCCTGCTGGGTATTCTTGTCTCGCAGCCCGGAAGAGGTACGTTTGATGTTGCTCTTATCGCCACTGTGGGGAAGATAACGCGGGTAAAAGAGTTTCGAGATTGACCTCAAGATAGCGCATAGTGATGGCGCGTAGGACAAGAGGCTAAGATGGATGATTGTGGTTATTTCTGATACAAGTATTTGGAAGTGAGCGGCACTGTCAATCCCCCTTGCTGTTCGCACTATAAACTGCCAAGTATAGGGTTCGCGCTGCGGCGGCGCAGGTGTGCCGCTAGATGAAGAAGCACTCGCAACTTGACATGTGAAAGTTGTGGGTATTTTGTGCCAGGTGTGTTGGTGGTGGCGCGAATACCAACGGGCGATCGTGGAGGGTATAGAGTTTCGGCTATCTAGGAAGATGGCTTATCGTCGGGCCTTCCTCGAGTGTTTGAACACGGCGCGGCAAGGTTAGGTTGCGAAAAACAAGAGATCTGGTAGCAGGGGCTATTGAAAGTGAGTGATGATGCATGGCTGGGCAAGCGCGATAGGCGACTGAGGGGTGGCTCCGTATGCAGGTCCGGTCTTGGTATATTGGAACACTGCAGCGTGTATAGCCGGAGCGACAAAGGAAAGTGCGCATCCCGGGTATGGTCACGCTACGTGAATTGAGTGCGCCTTTGACTCAGACTGCGGTCGCTGATTTCTGGATTACT